TTTAAATTGCCAGCTAGAATCAGAGACGGAGTTTAGGTTTCAGTTAGAAACAAAAACAATGCACATATTGTATTATTAAAGTCCACGTTCTCTAACATAAAGTATTGTGAACATTGTTTTGTATCCTGATAAATAATAACGTATTTTATCCGTCAATTCTAACCTAGCGTCATGAGAATCTCTGCAGAATTGGAACCGGATCGGTGAACCGGTATCAGACCGGCCAGTTTACCGGTCCGGTCTGGTTGAACTTTTCAACCGGCCGGTCAACATCGACTTTTTTACCAGTTTAATCACCGACCGGTTGCTGTCGGTTTCCGATCACAAGCGAAACATGACTACTGTACAACAAACGTTCGAGATGTCAATTGGAATCACCCAAGGGAGGTTGAAAAAAGGCAGTAGATCCAAAAATGATCTATTAAGGGGGATTTTCATCGAAAACGTGAAATTGAATTTCTTGCTCAGCTGGATAGGCTCTTTCAGAATATGTGTCGCTTTCTACAAAAGAACTATTTTTTCATGAGATTTTGAGAGGTTCTGTGTTAGCCACTTCAGTTATCAGCTATTTTTTAGCTATTTGTCCTTAGTTACCGTGGATAAAAAATCGCATAATTTTGAGTAGTAAAGATGTTTACTTAGTGCTATTCCCTAATCATAATATCTGCTATTTTTGTCAGATATTCATTAGGTTTTCGATCGATCAAATAACCTCTATGAGAGTAAAAGAAAGATAAACGAACACAGGTTAAAATTTTCTCGCATTATTTTCTTTCGAAAATATTCGTCCGAAAAAATTTCTTTCTTCATGAAAAATTAGCGCGAAAAAAAGTTGTTTTCTTCATTAAAACGTGATCAATCTATATTGTTTTTGCTACTGAGTTTGATACATCACCAGAAATTAGTCCGCGAATTTTTCTTCGTTTCATATTGGGTTGAACTTCGTGCTCAATACCTCACGTTAATACTGGAATAACCAGAACAGGAAGATTTTGAAAACACACAAGCTTAGCTTTCTGCAACAGATCGGTTTTTCACAAAATCCGGACATTAATCTGCTTCGGAATCGACCGGTTTTCTACCGGTTGAACTCAAAAATTGAACCGGCCGGTCCGGTGAGCTCCTGAACCTTTTCTATGATACAGATGATGAAAATTCTTCGGAAGAGGAAACTACGATGTATCTCATGGGCAGATCATACTTGCAAGTGAGTTGGATATGATAAAGGAGAGTGAGAATAGTTAATGTCTTTTAATTCGTTATTCTCGAGGACCTCAGATAGAGAGATCACTTTAGGTTTATGAATAGGCGTCCGGTTACAGAGATTCAAAATTTAAGGAAAGTCTTTTAGTAACGTCTTTTAAAGCGATTTGTCTTCGGCAACAAAACGAACGACTAAACATGATATGCAACTGTGTGAGTAACTTATCATAATGTAACGATCGTACTGTCTTCATAAAGTTCCCAATTAGTCTACATTTTCTTTTGGTTAGATGACTTTTGAACAGATGGACAGAATTGTAATTAGCAGAGAAAAAAAATGAATCTGATATATTTCTTTTCGAAACACTAGTTCAAATAGTGAAAACTTCTGTCCGGTTTTTGAATCTTACTTGTTATGGTAGATTAATCTTCTCCATTCTTTCGTAATTTGTCAAAAATCGATGCAATACATTTACTATCAGACGTAACACAAAATACTTCAATATCACACTATACACAAACTCTGCTATTTGTGATAGTTGCATACACAAAGGAGGGTTTATCTCAATCGTTTACTGATATACATAGATGCAGTGTATTCAAAGAGCAAAAGAAAGTTTTGTTTACTGTCGGGTCAGTGTTCCAAATTGTCAGAGTCGATAAAAAGGAAGACTGCTATGAATTCTTCTGTGACTGACGTGAATGATAAAAAGGAGGAAAAGATCAAAGAATTACTAGAAAATATGAAGTATTATCTAGGCGAGAAAAAGTCCTTGATTATATTTGGAGATTTTTTAATCGATCTCGATCATATCGACGAGGCACATAAGTACTGTGAAATGATGTTAAAAAAATACAGCCAAAAACTTTCGGTAAATCAATGCAATACATCTACAATAATGCAGTCCACTTATATAACAAAATCGGAGAGTCTCACTTCAGAAAAGGTGATTATTATAAGGCACGAGATAGCTATCAATTTGCCTTTAAGGTGAACTCACAGAAAGAAGTCACGCCAGAAACAAAAGCTGAAGATTCAGATGCTTTAGCACTGACTTGCATGAATTTATGTTTAGTATATTTTCGACTCGGAGATTTCGGTACTACTTTGCATTACTTTCAACAGGTGCGCGATCTTCGAAAGGAATCTAAGAGATATGACAAAGCTCAGTTGTCGAAGGCGTACAGTTATATAGCTTTGTCGCTAAAAGGAATGCATAATAAAGCAGCTGGAAAGGAAATGGCGGAAAAGGCATTGAAGTATGCACCAGAAAAGCATTCCGTACGTGGATTGGCACTTTTGAGTCAGGCTGCATGTAAACTAAAAGATGAGGCAGGCACAATCTATGAAGCTGTACTCAAAGCTTTTGAAGAAGTCGAGTTACCTGATAATCATCCGTACTACATGTTTCTTTACCTGCAAATGGGCAAGTTCTATCGTAGCGATAAATACTTCGAATAAGCTGAAGAAAAGGACAAAAAGGCTCTAAAAATCGGTGAATTGAATTACCAGTTTTATTGATTTGCCGTACGTTAACGATGTTTGAAATAAGGTTTTTTTTGTAGTTTGCTTTGAGATTGGTGTTTTAGTTTTGAGTCTACTGTGGGTTTTTGTTGTTTGCCTTTTATATCTCATATAATCTTGATTTAATTAAAAAGGTTCTTTTTTATTATTGTAGTATTTATATTAATTATTCGTTTTTATTCGTGTTTTTAATAGTTCTTATGGCTTTAAATTATGTTTTATAATTATCTGATTTAATATTTCTATTGACGTATTTTACTGGATGGATGATGAATCTGTTTTAGGATTTTTAAATTGGTATTGATCCTATTTCGGATGGTTTTTATTCTATTATTCTATAATTTATTGATAGATCTAAATAATAGAAATAATCAAGTCTCACGGAGTGTGTATCGATTAAAAATCCTAATTAAATTTTATAACTTATTTTAAGAATAAATCTATAGAATATTGGAATCTTTTTCAGTTCCCAATTCGAGTTTTTTCCATATAGAACTGGCTTTCAGTTTGAGTTGGATTCTTGATTTTTAGTGGTAATGTTATTGGTATTTGTTATTTATGATTATATGAATAATTGTTTCTGGCTTACTGCCGCTTGCCTTTTAGGGTGCTCAATTTTAAGGGTGGAATTAAAACCTGACACTAAAGAGTAACTAAAACGCATAATAACAAATACACCAGCTATTAGTAAGGTAGAAGAATGCACTACAAGTATTTTGGAGCAAAACTCTGAGTGCAAAAGTTCTTCAGAATCGCATTCCGAAGTCCCTCACCAGAGCTATCCCAAAAAGCTCTTTTTAAAAGTTGTTTTGGTTTTTAAATTAACTTTTACGGTTTTTAAAATTTTACAATTCTATGTTTCAATTGAAAAATGAAACACAAAATTTTAAAAATTTTGAATCTCTGTAACCGGACGCCCATTCATAAACCTAAAGTGATCTCTCTATCTGAGGTCCTCGAGAATAACGAATTAAAAGACATTAACTATTCTCACTCTCCTTTATCGTATCCAACTCACTTGCAAGTATGATCTGCCCATGAGATACATCGTAGTTTCCTCTTCCGAAGAATTTTCATCATCTGTATCATAGAAGACGTTCATGAGCTGACTACACATTCCATAGATTATAAAACAAAAATTGAAATATTGGAGTGATATCTCGTGAGCGAATTGCTCTGTCCAATGTACGATGTATGAAACTTTGTTTCGTGTAGCACATAATCGCATCTTCTGCTTTGTAGCTTTGTTCAAATTCTTTCAGTATGTCTAGATCATCTTTATTCAACTCACATTTTTAAATTCATTTTTACACATAGCAATCATGTCCGCTTTTGCATAGTCATTATTACTTCCTGGCATTTAATTCAGGATCATATCAAATAAGAGATAGTACCAAATATGTTTTTGAGTGTTTTCCTTTCTAATGTCTGGTAGATAATTTTCTGTTAAAATGAGGATACTCATCGGAAACGGTTCCTGTCGAAAAGGTGAAATATCTGTATGTAATTTGAACGCAAGCGTGTTTTGATCGTTGAAGTTTTGTGTAGTATGTTTTCTTAAAATTGTGTTGTCGTGGACATGCTCGTCAGAAAAAACATAAATTGATTGTATTTGTTTTAATTGATTCAGTTTAGCGACATCAGCAATCTGTCGATTAATTGAATGTTATAATACGAGAAAGATGTAGTCCGACTCTAGTGTCGACATATGTTCACTACATTCAGTTATATGATTAAAAATTTTGATGTAATTGAACTTTCTTTGTAGAAAGTTAGTAAAATTTTTTGATTCATTCGCCCTCTTAGTAATGTCTAGTAGAATCAGTTTAACAGGTTGAGTGAAATTTTGTTTTCAGAGTTCATTTCGTCCGCACGACTGCAACAGAAATGAGGAATGGGTAAAATGTGCAGCGAGAAAATTTTGTTTTAACACTTAAGAAGCTTCTGCTTTTGCAGTTATGTTAGTTTGTGCTCTTGTGACTCATCATTCGTTTTTGCTGAGTTGTTGACAACCTGGTCTGTCGAAATGATGTTCCTTGTTGCTGGATTTGTCTCCACTGACGACGTGGCAAGAGGATGGACCGAAGAAGGAGTACATTTCATCTTGTTCGGTGGCTGTTGTGTAAGTTTTCAGGCGTAAGTAAGGAGCCAGCTCCATATAACGTTTCTGTCCATACTACACGAGCAATCAAGTCTAATAAAGTATAGGTATGTTAAAAAAGGAAAACTTGCAGTAAGCCATAAATAATTTTCTGTCAGTAACAGCCCACAAATGACAAATATTAGTTCTAAAGTAAGAAAATTTTCTCCTTCTTCCTTTTTTTTAGTTCTCTACGTTTTAAAATTCAGTTGGATCACTTCTTTTTGTGATCCCTACCTACACGTATTGACTATGGTATTATTTAACAGTCAGTCCGTGTATCAGTATAAACATAATCAATGTTGAAAAAAGACCGCACAATGTTTGAATGAAAAAGGGAGAAAGGAAAAAAGCAAATTTTTTGTTTATTTATATGAGAAGTGAAGGATATTAGTTTTACTTTTATTATGAAAACAGTTTACATCAGTTGTTGGAATACAAACGACAATAGACTTCTTTTCTCTGCATATTTTTTAATTGCAGTACAAATTTCTTTTTTTTTATCCAATGGCATCCATTTCTTATTTCCATACCCCTGTGCTGATATAGGCTAACCGAATTTATAGATAACAAGCTCACGCGTATAGTAAAATCGTAAAAATGGAAGAGCACTTAGAAATACTGCTTCAACAGGTTTCAGAGGTGAGTTGAATTTCAATCAGAAAGAACTTGTCCTTTTTAAAAGGCACGTAGCTAAGAACTATAAAATTCTAGGTCGTTGAAAAGTACTCCATCAAGGAATCAGATAAAGCGGACAGGTATCTAGCAATGAAAGCTGTTTAAGAAAATCGGCAGGTCACAGGAGCTTTCTACTACAATTTAGTGGTAACACGAACGATTACGGGTTTATTAACTTTGTTGAAGAGCGTCACACAAGCACAATACATCGGCTAGCTCAGGTGCGTAACTGTTGTAGTTCGAAGTTTTACCTTCAGTTTTCTTTTGCAGTATGTTCGTTTAGCGTACACTACACCGCCAGCAGCAATAGTTGCGCTTTTAGTTCAAGCCTACAGACTGCCTGTGCCAGACTTCATTTTATCGCTGAATACCAGTGGCATCGACGCCGACGCTCGTTCGCATGCTGGCTCAAGTATTCCACTAGAGACTCAACGAAGCTTTCAAAGAGGTTTAGCAGCTGCAGTTTCGGCTCGTCGCTCAGTTATAGCTCAAGACTCTACACACAAGAACTCCGCGCACAGAAGAGCTAGTAATATAGCTGACATGATCACGATTTCATTTTTTAAAATTATTCTCCGTGTTTTGTTTAGATGTTTTGGTTACAACATCAGCGATTAATAGTGCTGCAGTTGCATTAGCTGGTAGGGCACTGAATACTGACGATAGCAGCCAAGCCACAGTACCATGTCTTGGCTTCGGTAGTTGGACACACACAGCAGGTAAGCCTCTGATTTTCACAGAACAAAATAAAGCGAAATATAGAAACAAAAGTTCTTACTGGCCCTGTAAACCTTGAAACGATGATATCCATTTGCAATTGAATTCTCATACCCAACTAGGACGGAATATAACTTTTAGAGACTTAGAACTCTACCATTTTGTTTAAATTTTAGCAAATGATCAATTAAGACAAGAATTAACCAGTTCGAATGTCACGAATAATTGCATTAAAACCATGTCTGAAAGCTTGCATCAGGTAAGTTGGAGGAAAAAATTGACCTCTAGTTGCAGTACTCGATAAAACTCTAACTCATCCAGATGTACGGTCCACTTCCAGGACACTTCCACGCTCGTGTTATAGCAAATACCTGACGCTTGTGCACCGGAAATATGCTCTCGGCCTTGTTTTCAGTTCCACTATGCTCCCAGGCACAAAAAGCTTTGGCCCTAAAACGCTTTCTTTTCCGTTTTTAACGATCAAAAAACGCGTTAAATGTTTCATCTGAAACCCGTTGTATCCCATAGAAAACGGGAGTGTCGTAACGCGTTTTTTTGCTGTTTCTAACAATTTTTTGTGCTGGACTGTCTCTAGGTCCGAATTGAACTCCTGTTCAGCCCCACATTCTTTTCAATAGAGTGTTCTCAAGTAACAGTGCACTCCTATATATATATTTGGGTCGCTTTTCAAAATGTTCAGTCACCTTCGAAACTCCGCCTGTTAAAAAACTTCTGTTTTAGAATAAACACCCTCAGCATCGTATCAAAGACTATAAGCCGAACTATAAGCAAATTGACTCTCATCATAACACAAACTGTGATTTAGAACCAAATCATACACACTTCTTACTGTTTGATGATGGTAAAGACTATCTGAGTCCGAATAAAATCTTAGAAAAACGTAGACAGATTGAACAGGAACTGGCTAAAGCATTAAAATACTGTATTACCGGTTACGATCCTACAAATGGTACGTATTTCTTCAATTTTACATTCAAGTCAGTTCTAAAAAGTTTATACGTTATATAACTACTACTAATATCGTGTTCTAGTAATGCATAATAAAATACCTATAGTGATGCTTCTGTTAACTGGCGATTACTATTCTCTTAAAATCTTGTATCAAAATTTAATGGATTCCGTACCTGTAGTGATCTTAAAGGTGAGTTAAACTAGGGACTTTTATGACTAAGGATAATAAGCTCAGGAGATTGGCCGCATAACAGTTACGAGCTGTTGCTCAGTCAGTTGTGGTCTGAATTAGAATTTTACGAATGAACTCTTTGATGAAGCTCTTTCGAAAAACGAAATCGGTGTCATAACTTTAGATTTTCATTTTTAAAAGAAAACAGGTGAATTAGCGGAAACACTTGGTAGTATTTACGACAAACTCATAGCATATCAGGAATATCTAAATGTTAAAAGTGACGATTTACAATGGAACGAGAAAGTAAAGCAAAAGAGAGATGACCTTCAGAATGAAGCTGAAAGGAGATTACAAAAATTAACTATTATACCGAGGGAAGATACAATCGACGAGACAAATCAAAATATTGAAATCTATTTAAAAGAATTAGTCATGAGAGAACATTTAGTCACAGTATACAGTTCAGATAGACCAGATGATAGTTTAGAAGATGCAATATACAGTGCCTTTCTAAAGAAATCGAAGTGGAAGATCATGGAACACACAGACGACTATGATTTGTTCCATCGTTCAATGGCAAAAGCATTACTTTGGACTATTGTGAGTTTCTAGTTTTTAATGCTTGGCTTCCTTTTACGAAAGCTTAATCGTGACTGTTTAGATATGGAGTGATATTGATTATGCCAGGGCGAATATTCTACACGATAGTGTTACCGCTGACAACCCTGTGTTTCAAACCATACGCTTTCTGGTAAGTTGATACCAGTGCAAGATTCTTGAGAATTTATCTGACTACGATAGCGTTGGATTACAATTGAATGAGTCTCACGACAGGGAATTCGTCACAGTGCACATAGCCGTCAGACTATTTTGCTTTACTCTACTTACACAGACTGTAATTTTTTTAGGTTAAAATTCTAATGCTACGTGCATTGCCGGAAGCTTTACGACGTAATAATTGGCGTTTTGTAGCGCTGTTGGTAGAAAATGGAGCTTCCTTTGATGGGTTGAATAACAGTGATATTAAAATAATTTTCGAGTCAACAAAGGTACTTAGATAAAGTAGACACGTGTAACGGGTTTGGTTATAATTACTTTCACTTTCTTTTCTTTAGAATGTCGATGCGTTGCCGTTAAAAAAGTCTTTTAATGATAAAATCGAATTAAGTTATGAATACCACTATTATTATCTTCAGGGTTATGTAGGAAGATGTATTCTTGACATTGCATAGAGATTTTTTAACTTTTAATAACTTTTTTAGTTTACTGACGTGGAGCATTCATCAGCACATGAAGAGAATATGGAGAAACTCTTCCTGTGGTTTATCTATATGAACTATCCAAATATGGCTAAATATATCTGTTTCAGGTGCAAAGTAAGTCAGTGCAGGGTTACTAATGCCGTTACTATTCACCAAGTCGAAAGGTCTTCACACACGCATTGGTTAAAAGCGTCTTGAAGGTCTACTAGACGTTGCTATCTCTCACAAATCAAGACGTATGTCTTATACTTTTCCTCGTTCATTTACTTTAGAATCCAACTGTAGCCTGCCTGCTAGCCTCGAAGATTTACCGTCGTGCTGCACATCTAGATACGCAGAGAAAAGAAATTTTTACTCACATTTCAAAGTAATTTTCGGAGTACGTTTCGTGATTATTTCTAAACCTTTTTTCTTTGAAGAGATTTTGATCGATATGCAGCTGGTATTATTGATGAATGTTTTCGAATTGATCAAGATTTTGCAACTGAATTACTACACTCCAATGCAGTTGCATTTTACAATTGCATAGCAATAAATATAGCTCGTGAAGCTGACTGTCAAGCGTTTCTGGCATCAGAAACCGTACAAAAAGATGCGACTAAACGCTGGTATGGTCGATTCAACGCAGAGCGAAAAGTGTGGAACAGATCTGTTCACTTTTGGGTTAGTAGTCTTTCGAGTATTCAAAAAGCTTTTTTTTTCATAGACAAATTGTTGTTTTTAGGTCTGGTTATTCTCCGTAATAGTACCGTTATTACCACTCTCTGTCGCATTTCTACCAAAATTAGCATTCTCTGAAAAGGTATTTGTAAGGGAAGCCGTCAAGAATAATGAAATGTGTAGAACCTAGACGTAGTCTATATTCTACGCGTCGAAAAATCTATGCGCAGAATTTATTTTCTACGCGTAGATATAAGGTGCCGCTAATTCAAAAATCAAGTGGAAAAGCTTTTGAATTTTCAAACACATATTCTGATTCGTCAGACCCTGCTGATCACGAATCTGACCTTATTTTCTCGATTTGATCGACTTTTCATGCAGAAAATCTCAAAATACTGTGACGGCGTCAAAAACCTCGAAAAAACGATTTTTCAGAAAAATCCTGATTATCTCCTGATCTTCTCATTTTTCGATCTCACCAATACGATTTTCGGATTCAGCATCGCGAAGCACATCTAAGCACTTGGTATTCGATGACTTTTCTTCAAGGCTTAAACTCTTGTAGCTGATCAAACACTGGTCGCTCGAACCTTGAGGTTCTCACAGCGCAATGCTATCTAGGATTTCGAGTCAGCCGGATCCCTGAAAGTAAAATGGCCTTATCTCAGTCTAGGGATGCCCCAGAAGGCTAGAGGACGTCTCATTTTGCTCAGAATATGACACTCTATCGATATGATGTGCTTGGGACGAAAAAGATTTCCAACAGACTCTTGAAGGTTTCTCAGAGTTCTGTTTTTTTGCAAAACCTACTGGAAAACTCCAAACCTCTCAAACGCATTTCTAACGTATTTAGCATTGCTTTTTACCTAGAAAACCACAATAGTGGTGCTCTAAGTGGAAATATCAATGAGTTATGGGCTCATCATCTGAAGGATTTTGCGAAAAACTCGCACTTGCTCAGTCTTTTCCTAATTTCTCCTGAAAGGAAAAACATTTTGAAAAAACGAAGCGTACTTTTGTGGAGCAAGGCAAGCGAACCTTCTGGCGTATGAAAGAACTCTCTGGCTCTCATGGCAAAAAACCAGATAGAATTGCGCGGTGAGAACCTCAAGGTTCGAGCGACCAGTGTTTGATCAGCTACAAGAGTTTATGTCTTGGAGAAAAGTCCTCGAATGCCAAGTGTCTAGAATCAAACAACATCAAAGGGGCGAGCAGGTGTGAGAGTGAGCAATTTGGGACGAACTGAGAGTAAACCGTTCTGATTACAGAATGGAAGAAATTTTCGCTTTCTATTATCAGTTATCAGTTGCACAATTCAATTTAATCTAAAGCTAAATTATTTATTTTTTCTCTAGCGAACGAAATGATAGTGAATAAATTTTATCTTTTAGTCTAAGTGTTGGTTTAATTTTCTGCAAAAGGAAAATATCGATTATAATGCGTTAATGCAAAATCGCTGAATTTAACCAGTTAAACAGAAATTAATCAGGGAGTGTCCATTTCTAGTTTTTATTCATCTGGAAGAGAAAACGTTCGACAACGTGTCGAACTATTTTTCAGAAATAGGGTCCCTCTGATTTTTGAGCTAGAGGATCACCAGTATCATTGTCTAGCTTCATCAAAAAATAGAATTTTTATTTCTTCTTGAGTAGTTAGGTCACTTTTAAATGGACTTTTTCTATTTGTTTCTACTCCTTCAAAAACAACATCTGGATTATGAATGCATTTCTGTTCATTCTAACAGACCGAAAAGACTTTTGTAAATACCTAACGTCAATCGTCTCACTTGGAATACAATACACAACATACCCAATGACATAAAAATGACGTTGAAAACAAAACTGTTTTTCAACAGCTTCAAAAATAATACAAATAATTTCTCAAAAAGAGATGCTTATTTTACTACTGATTGAAATAAGATGCTATTTAATCCAGATGTTCATTCTATGCATAGTACTCGTTAAAAACACGTGTTTTTCTTCCGCTTTTCATATAAAGTGGTGGCAAGAAGTTTAACAACAAACTTGTTTTTGTTCTTTCTCGTGAATCCTAGTAACTACAATAAATCTGACGATAGGTTCGTACAGCGCTGACTTCGATGTGTGTATAAATATTATTCAAAAGATTTCAATTTGACTTTAGCCTGTTAGAAAAAAGGTTTTCTCAGAAATCCAGGATCTCCAAAAATCCTACTTTTTTAAAACCCAATGCAAACATTTGTTTTATTATTTCGTAAGATAGAACAAAGTCTTCTCTTCAAAATGAGACCTTCCGCAGTTCTCCACGACAGTTTTTCATTGAGTTATGACTTTTACACGAAAAGCTCTAAGGTGATAATCAGCCTGTGACTGCTTTTTTTTTCGTGAGGTTGCCGAGACTCCTGCTTGTGGGGCCCTTCGTGTAAAAGTCATAACTCAATGAAAAACTGTCGTGGAGAACTGCGGAAGGTCCCATTTTGTAAAGGGTCTCAACGGTACATATTATGTAATCAATTACAATGTTCTACAAGACATTTTCCACCAAGACTAAAAGCCGGCTTCAAGAGTCCGGTGTACATCAAATTCTCTTTATTCTCTATAATTTGCACGGATTCATCATAATTGCCTCATAAAAAATAGTGGAATAAGCATAATGGCCCCAATACAGAAGAAATGACTACCCCTTTTAATTTTCGTAATTTCTCAGTAACTAATTCAGGTCAAGTCCGAATGATGTGCAACTCACATGAAATATAGAGCAAAGAATTCTCTAAAAAATGAACTAGTTTTTAATTTGTTTGCTTAAAACTCTCCGTTGAAATGAATTTATTTAAGTTCATTCTAGCAATTTTGGGTGTACTTATCATAATTACCCCATGGGGTAATTATGATAAGTCGATACTTGCTCGCTGAAAATTGATTAGTACCAATGTATTTTATGATAATTTTTACATCTATCGATAGGTAAGACGCAGCCTGTGACTACCTGTGAAATATCCCTTTTTTTCTGGTGAAAAATAGCTGCAGAGCTTCAAGAGTACTGAGAAGTCCTGTTTGCATCTTTGTATTAGTTAAAAGTACACGAGTTATATTTGTTGCATTAAAATAAAATAAATTAGAATTTAAATTGACGTGCTGCTATAATCAAGATAAAGAATTACGACATAAAAAATGAAGTCGAATAAGGACAAATTTAATAAAAGCATTACTAATTATTAGATTTGTAGTCATATTTAGTACATACATGCAAATACAAAGCACATTATATTTTTTCGTATTTATGCACTTTTGAAATGCTCCCTTAGTAGGCTGTTCTACCTCATTTCGATTACATTTTATTTTATGTGATACTTTTGATCGCATTTATATGTAATACATGTATCGAGTACTGTGGGGTAAAAAGAGTCAGTTCATGAAATTTTCGTCATCATTTCACTATTTCTTATCCGTTTTTAACTGAAAAAATTCGATATTCACCATAATGGTAGAGCCGACAATTATCTACACGCCAGTACAAAAATTTCTTGAAAAATTATGTTGGTTTTCGAGATATATTCAAATGGAAGTCGAGTGGTTGTGATTGGCTCTTTTTATCCCACACGAGGTAAAAAGAGTCAGCTCACTTATGTCGATGGGGTAAAAGAAGTCAATCCATTCAAATACATGGAGATTTTTTAAAATGATCCTAACTCATTAACGATGGCTCCTAATTAATTAAAAATTATATCATTGTGAAGCTCTACTCTTCCTCTATCGAAGCATACGAAAAGCTGTTAATAATATCGGCATCTTTGACATATGCGAAAACTAGGATTTAATTGCTAAAAAGAGAGAAATTTTATAAGAAACTAAAATTCTAGATAATTTTGACCATGTTCAAATCGTAATCTAATCCGTATTTTGAGTTAACAGCAAGTAAATTAAATAATATGATCGCGTCTTATTAGGTAATACATACCGGGGAATCGAACGGGAAAAGTACGAAGTTTCTAGCATGAAAAATAAGATATTTAGGAAATATTTAGGAAATTTGATACTTTAAGCAACTTTTCTTAATATCCCTATTTGAACTTTCAATTCTATTAGACTATGTGTAAGAAAAATTTTGAATGTACAGAAAAGAAGAGAAAAATTTATGAAACTAAAAAATAGATTTTTTTTGACTTGAAAGGAAAAACTTAAAAATGCATAACTTTTTGAAGAAAGGTCGTTGAGGGCTGAGAGTGGTCTCATTTTGTAGCTCACACTTTCCTCTACATTAGGCTATGCTCAGCTCAAAATACGAAATTTTTTCAAAAAAGAGCGGAGGTATCCTTAAGCACCAGAAATCAGTAGATGAGAAATTAAGAAATCTGGCTCTGTAGACTCCTAGGCATAGGTGTTGGCTGCAAAACAAAAACAGCCCGAGCTTAATAAAAGTTATTTTCACCTTCTGCGCAAAACTATTTTAACCTTGTTGTGCCTTTGTGTTCTAGAGACCGGTGTCTCCTGAGGAAGAGAAGTGGTCCGTTAGTTACAAAAGGCCGTAAGTTCTACTGTTTATATGCGTCTTAGTTGTCTGCTCAAACAATGTATGACTTTAGTACACCCGATGACGACAAAGTAATGCGACCCTGGACCAAATTTCGTTATTTTTATGAAGCGCCTGTTGTCCGTTTTTATTATCATACGGTAAGCTTAGGTATTTTGTTGACTTTAGAGTCACCACAACTGAAAACGTCACCTACTTACTTCAGATATTTTTCGTGTCCTTCCTGTGGCTCTTCAGTTTTGTTCTTTTGGTGGACTATTTTCCATTGAACACATATGGTGGACGACGCTCTGGAAGATACGATTTACTCCTACCTATAACAGAAATCGTTTTACACGTGTGCATATGGAGTCTATTTTTAGAAGAGTTAGAACAGGTGAGAACGACAGGTTTGTTTACAGACTTATCGCCACAGCTGTCCTTCTTCTTTTATGACAAATAGATATGTCAACACAGCAAACATTTGTGGTCAAAATATGATTCCAAATGTTGTAAATGGCAAATGTCTCCACGTCAGTATCATTATAGCTATACGGAGGCCGGTTGGAATATTGTCAGCGGCTTTACTGTAGTTTATTACTTAATTGGGTTTGGCACTCGATTCTTCGTAGACGAAATGAGTTTTACTATTTCAAAGTGAGTTTTTCATAGTCTGTTAGTGTGATATCTTGATTCATAAACCCTTCTATTATAGGATATTTATGTGCTTTGACTTCATTGCTTGGTGTGTAAAACTATTACATGTCTTTGCTGCGTATGAATATCTTGGGCCTAAACTGGTTATGATTTTAAAGATGGTAACTTTTAACTCAAAGTTTTTCGTCAAGTTTTCTAGCTGCCTTTTGTTGATATTTTAGGCATGGGATGCATTCTATATCTTTGTTTGTTTCATATTAATATTCTTATTTGCCTTCTCAATCACAGCTTGGTCATTACTAACGGCAACATCTCAAGTCACTTGGGCATATACAGAGAATGGCACGTTGTATAACGTCACTGTCAGTGGAGATGGTGGCCCTTTATGGAGTTGGGAACTTCTTAGAGATGTACCAAATTGGGGCCTATGGAAAATCGTTGGACAGATCGACGAGCCGTACGATAATAACACGAATTTGGGTCGTAAGTACATAGCTACTGGTCACATATACACCTACGAAAATGGTTTTCTTTCAGAAAATGATGCTTTTGGTGCAGTCGTCTTCGTATTTGCCATTCTTTTCGTAGTCATTGCAAATGTTTTATTATTAAGTGTTCTAATTGCCTCATTCAAGTAAGTCATTAGTAGCCTTCAGCTGCATTGTGTGAAAGCATTTCTCTTATGAAATTCTCTAGCGATACCATTAAACGTATACAAGATGAATCAAAACAATTGTGGCGTTACCAACGCTTCTTGCTGTATAATGAATACGCGACAAAGACGATATTTCCTCCGCCACTCAACTCACTTTGTTATTTATTTCGTATGATACGATACATTTACAAGAAAACTGTGACAGCGCAGAGTTTCGCACAAATGAGACGACTTGTTGTTTCTCAAAATTGTTGTCAAGCACAAGTTGGCCCCCTTCCGACTTCTTCTTCCGGACAGACCACAGTTAATTCAACAGATACAAATGTTTCACAATCTCCTCCTCGGCAACCATCACTGAATTCATTCAGTAGTAACAGAACTGGAATGAATTATCTTGTAGAATCGTGTCAAATGCGACACGAGAAGGAAATAGCAGAAGAATATTGGAAGAAAATTTTGATGACAGTGGACGGCAAAAACATGTCGCCAAAGCCAAACCAGGTGCGTGTGAAAACCTGTGACATTAAGCATTCCTATGCTCGGGAACCTAAACCAGTTTTCTTGATTTCCTTTTCAGATCGACAAAGACATGCAAGCCGTCATCCAAGGAGTTGTGAAAGGACCACTTGAACCGTTGTTTGACGAGCAACAAGGGACAAGTCGACGTTCTTCTGTGCTTCAAACTAAAGAACAGGACTACCAAATACCTCACAATGAGCAGACGGCACATCGTAGTCTACGAACATCTTCAAACGATATTCCCTGAAAAACATTATTGTGAACATTTTTCAATTTTGCGTATTTCGAATTTCACCCACACCCACACATACATACTTGGGCTAAGTTTTGATATCAGAGTAAAAAAATCATTTATTTTCAGAATGTAACACAACCTTTTTTAGCGCAATAAAATCCATGTTCATTCAGGAATATTTATACTTGTAGAAACTGTTCTCTTTTCAACTGGCTTTTTTGTCTCGATTAAAATGAACTTCAAGCTTTTCTCATTCCTGTCATTTCTTTTATTCACTTTTCATAAAAATTCACTAACTGTAACATTCTTCAACTTCCCAAAAAAACTACCAGAAAGTCAAAAGAAGAATATAAGAATCCTGGTTCTACTAGGAATGAGCGAGATTATTCATTCACATAGCTTCGTTTTACAGTGATTTTCATAACAAGTCTAACGTTAGGCAGTTTCACGCCAATTTTGTATTAGGCAGTTTGGCAGTCACTGAGAACGAGAAATGAAGATGGTAAGTTTACTAAAAGACCCGATTGTTCTTTGTATTTTCTGTCCGACTAGCTCACTCACATTGAGACTTTGCCTGGATCTGTACAGCGTTTTACATGATAAAAAACTACTGTTCTATCTCATTTTCCATCACTTCTCGTTTGTAAACAGGACTCGTATACACGCATTTTCTCTTTTAAAGTCCTCACCATAGTTACGCTTAAAAGTACAGTTCAAACTGTCCTTAATGAAAGCGCGTATGATGCCGCCACGTATCGCACTCCTCGAACTTCAACATCAAAACTATAGATGGTTCTTCACATCGCAACTGTTTTACAAGTTTTTATAGGTGCCAGCTTTTGCTATTTCTTATATCGTAGAAACACTGGTATTAATCAAGGTAGCACGAAGAATTACCATCATCGAGGAAAAAAGGTCCTTCAAGTGGATCGGAAGTTACAGGAAGCGAACCTTGATTTCAAATCAAGGTTCGGTTACTACAATTTCTGATCCACTAGAAAGACTTTATTATGTCAGTGTTTGTGTTTTTCGAAGATAACGGAGCTGTCATCTCAGTAGCTGTGTGTCCTTACAAGTGTTGGTAGGGTCACCAATGATGAAATTCGCGAGAGACATAAATTCTGTTATACTACCTAAAAAATTTAGCTGCTTTATCGTTTTTTAACTCTTTGTATGGGTTCATAAAGTTGGTCACTACCCATTGCCAAATTTTCTACGAGAGCAGTCTCAACAAAACGTGAAAGTTTTATTTTTTTTAAAAAAACGGTGAGAAACGCGTTTTCTTTATAGAAAAAACTGGAAAAAGCGTGATTTTGTCAAAGACGATTGGAAATGAAGAAAAAATACAGGCGTTTCCTTGCGTTTTCTTGACTATTTGAGAAGAAAACCCGTTTAAACGCTTCTGAAAAAAAACGCGTTGGTCTTCGTTTTATTTTGGTTGTATTTGAACGTAATTTTAGGTTCATCAGATGAATATTTTTTGTCAAAAAACAATTTAAAAAAAATAAAAATTTCGTGTTTTGTTGAGACTGCTCTCGTGGAAAATTTGGCAATGGATAGAGAAACCCTTTTTCCCCGATCCTTTTTCTCTCTCTCTACTTCACGAAAAACGCTCTCCCTACTTCCTCTGCAATGCACCAGCTGCAAGCACCTCTCACGTTGAATGAAAGTCAAAATCCGACCTCGGAAGTACAGGTGAAGTTTTTTTCACTGGCATAACAACTATTAATGCTGATTGGTGTGTATCAATATCCGTTTCTGTATCTATCACATGTTGGTTTATGTGTTTGCATATTGTTATTAAATCATCCATAAATCTAATTGAGTAGATTGTTTGAGAAATGTTCTTCCACCGAAGATTCATCGTGATCTACTTCTTGTTACATAGGATTGTTCTAAGCTTTATACTATTGAAAGAAATGAGAGTGCAACTATGGCGTCTGCTACATCAATATGTATGAGAAAAACAATTGCATATTTTGAAGTAAAACTTCTATTTTCAATATACCATCCAAGTATGGAAAATATACTGTTTATATTCTTGAACGAAAAACAAAATGGTGAAACTATACTTGTAATGAAAGGAATGTTTTCTCTCTCTCCGTACAACTCTTTTTCTTTTCTGTTCCATCACCACAAGCATGTGTCACGCTTGTTCTGT